ATGGCTATAAAGGCTCTAAATGCCTATTTTAAGTTCTTAATGAAACTTCATGCTCAAGTGGGACCTTAATCCTGACCAAAACTGAAACGTTATGCTTATAGAATCCAAGGAGGGTCCAGATCTGAAGTTACAACCTCAGATCTAGCCCATAGCTCATCTTTCCAACTTAATATCTCACCAAAACCCTAAAAATCAACCAATAAAAGAGATTCACAAGGAAAAAGGCGATTTGGTAAGCCCCAAAAGGTGATAACTGAGATAAGAGTTGATTCCCACACTCTACTTGCTCCAATCTCCTTCTCCTCTAAGCCTTCTCCCTCCAAGGATCCTCTCTTCAAGCTTCAAAACACACAATGGGCACACACACACACACACACACGTATTAGGGTTTTGAGGGGCTCTCAAAGACTTCAAAGAGGCCAAAGGAGGCTTATCATTCCTTAAATAGGGTGCAAAACCCCGGGATTTAGGGTTTCATCTGCCAGCTCCTACTCGTCGAGTCCCTTAGTGGACTCGTCGAGTAGGTCACTAAACACACGTTCCAACCCCGCTGCTACTCGACGAGTAGGGCAACCAACTCGTCGAGTAGGACATTAAACCAATTAACCTTTTATTTAAATCCCTACCTGGAATCGGGGGGTTACACGTGTTCTTATGCTGGGGAGTTTTGCCGAACCCCCAAACAACACAACCCTCAAACCAAGCAGCCACTAGGATACCGAGCCTAACCAGGTCACTAAACATAATACCGTCCTAATTACCAGGACGCCGATCTAACAGATCAATAAACATATCAACAATCCTATAACCAGGATATCGACCTAACCGATCTCTAACATATCATATCACCATCCTAACTACCATGACGTAAATCAGTAAGCATGTCATGCAATAATCCAAATACAAACCATAAAGGGCCGGCATTGGTGCCTTAGACCCTGTTGATATAGTGAGGATAACTCACCTTGTAATGCCAGACTGAACCACGAAAACACGCTCCCGAAACACTGCCCCAAACTCCAACACCTATAACCATCAATGATCCAATCATAAATACCCATAAGTTCCCAACCTTTCAAGGTACCCCATAAGCCAACTAATCACACCCTGGTCAAAGTCAAAGTCATCAGTCAAGGTCACCAGTCCATGTTGACCCTAACTCACCGAGTACCCTCGGCTACTCGCCGAGTTCCTTGAAGTACTTGTCCACTCGCCGAGTCACCGGAGTGACTCGTCGAGTTCCTTCGGTTTACGATCGAAACCCTAAGGCCACTCGTCGAGTTTCCTTCTTGCAACTCGACGGTTACACACACATACATAAATTGGGGAAACCTCAACGACTCGCCGAGTTGTTCATACAACTCGTCAAGTTTACGCCAATCTTCATCGGACTCGCCGAGTTGTTCATCCAACTCGTCGGGTCCAGGCTCATCTTCATGTGACTCGCCGAGTCAACCTTGCGACTCGCCGAGTTCCTTTAGTCCTTAAGCCATACAGACTCTTTTTAAGCCATGTTAAGACGCCATACTGCAGATCCAACTTCCCATGGAATGCTTATCACGTAAAGTTGCAAACTTTACGTGCATGCAAGGCTCTAATGACTCATAATGCCAAATCCAAGCTTGAAATGGGGTTTTACACTTAAGGAGGGGTTCATACTTGCCAAAGCTGATAGCTTTATGGACTTAAAAATCGAAGATAGTTCAGATCTGAAGTTACAACTTCAGATCTGGGCTCATACCCAAAAATAGCTTCAACACCAAACCAAGAAGCCCTAATTTCATCCAAGGAGATCTAGAAAGGAATGAGGCCAAGATCATGAATTGATACCTCAAATAAAGCTAACTGAGATAGATTTTGCAGATCTACACAAGTCCCTTGGTGCTAGCTACTTGACCTTCAAGCTCCCTTCACAAGTTCCACCTTCCAAAGCTTGAAACACACAAATGGAGCACACACACACGTATTAGGGTTTTGCTGAACTCTCTAGAGGCTGCAAGGGAAGGCTAAGGGGAAAATGATCCTTTAAATAGGGTGCAAAACCTCGGAATTTAGGGTTTCATCCTCGAGCTCCTACTCGTCGAGTCCCTTCTTGGACTCGGCGAGTAGGCCACTTAAACTCGCGGACCAACCCGCTGCTACTCGGCGAGTCAGGCCACCAACTCGTCGAGTAGACCTTGAAATCATGAGAATTTATAATCATAAATTGATACTCGGGAATCGGGGCATTATAGTTTCGCATCCTGTTAGTTAGGATGGTGATATGCTTATGTTTAGTGATCGGGTTCGGTCGATATCCTAGTTACAGGATTATGCTATGATATGAACTGGGTAGGTCGGTGTCCTGGATTAGGACGTTGCTATGCTATGTGATCTGTTAGATCGGTTTGTCTGTTATTATGATAGCCTATGAATGTATATGCACATGTTGTTTAATTTGGGTGTTGGGTTGAGACGGTCTTGCTTTGTGCTGAAGGCCAACATACCCAGGGCGGTCCGGATAGACTACAAAACCCAAGAGGGTATGATAGTCAGACCGAAGGCCCGGCGAGCGGTCCGAGTAGGCTGAAGGCCCCGCGAGGCGGTCCAGACGTGCTGAAGGCTCGGAGAGCGGTCCAGATAGACTGAAGGCCTGCGAGGCGGTCCAGTCAGGCTGAAGGCTCATTATGCTTGCTGTTTGGTTATATGTTTATATGACATGGTTATGTGGTTGGTATTTTGGGGGATAGCCCACTAAGCTTTCAGGCTTACAGTTTCAGTCGTTGTTTCAGGTACCTCTGGTGATCGCGGGAAGGCGAAGGCATGATCGTACCGCTCCTCTCGCTATTATGACTTTTATGATTTGATACTAGGATAGTCTGATAACTGTATTTTGAAAACAAACTATGTAATGACTTAATGGATTAAAATGTTTTTAAAAGTTTAAATTGGCTTGAATTTTTGGGTGTCACATTAATGTTGCTCGATTTCTCAAGGTCATCATCTGTGGGTTTACCGGGACGAACACACACACACACACACCCACAAATCATTTTTCAGATATTAGGGATTGAATGTTTTTCCGAAATCGTTTTAAAGACGAGTGCTTTAGCGTTTTTCACAAACGATTTTAGAGATGAGGGAGGACTTGAGCTTATTTCATTCTCTCAAAAATCAAATCCCCAAATTGAATCCCTCACTTGATCGAATCTATATTGACGCCTCAATAATGGTAGTGGCTCCATTGTAGCTTCATCCTTCACTCTGCCTTCGTCAATCGAAGTAGACAAGATATTATGAATGCTTCATTAAGTTCCTCCTACATTTGGTTAAAACTCAAATTCTTAACATTAACGAAAAACATGAGGTTACGTTTTCGAACATCTGATATTGAAGAAACAACAACATTTGCAAACCGACTTTTGGATATAAGAGAATGAAATGTTTGTGGTTTAAATGATGGTGAGACAATTATTGATATCCTGGATGATTTTCTCATTACTAATTTATTTGATCCTATTGGTTCATTAATTGAGTTTGTTTAACCTTCTATTCTTCAAGTGCCAAGAATCCAATGTTTTTTTTCTTCAAGAATGAGCAATTTTTTGCTCTGAAAAATAAATCCATTCAAGAAATAAATGATCATTTATTATCACTAATTTCGGGAGCTGCAAAAGAATACATAAGTTCAGATAATCTTTTTCATTTAGATTTTGTTCACGATGACTTTGATGAAAGGTTATACTGGCCTGTGATGTTTTACATGGTCTTAAACTGTTAATTTTACCAATTTATAAGTTGGTATTAAAAGTTGATGTTCCAGTTATGTTACTAAAGTGTTGTTTGTTTTTTATGTGACAAAATGTCTGCAGTTTGCGGACCACATCTGCAGTAGAAAAGGTGAACCAAACGTCTGCAGTCTGAAAGAAGAAGTCTGCTTGTTTTTAACATCCGCATTCTACCAAAATAAACTAAAATCTAAATAAATTGAAATGTAAATGATCTCATGTTAATCCAACTTCAAAACGAAAAAGTGATGAAAATTTTAAAAGTTTTACAGATTGCACATTACTTTTTATTTATTTTTTTTTCGGGTTTTGGGTTTTTTAGTTCTCGATCCATTTATCTGCTTCCATCCTACCCGGTTTGACGTTTTTTGGTTTTCCAGTTTTAGACCCATTTTACCCTAAACCGAACCAAAATTAGCTCCATATACCGATCTAATTTCTAGTTCTACTAAATCTCGTTTTTCAGTTTTCGGGTTTTTGGTACCAGGTTTGGACTCGATTTCATCCCTATTTTATCGGTTATCTTCAACTGAAAAATATTAAAAACATTTTCATGCAAATCTTTTATTTTGCAATTACATAAAAGATGGTAAATCCAAAACGAAATGGATCAATAGGTACTTGTTGGTCATTTAGTTAAACAAATTAAAAAAACATGTGATTTTTTATATTTTAAAATCATTTGGTAATTTGTTGATCATGAGAAAACTTAGTTATGTTTGACATGACACGATTACTTTATTTTTCAAAAGAATTTAAATTCTCATATTTAGGAAACAAAAATCTAACTTATTAAGTTATTTAAAAAAAATTACTTGCACTATTTTATTGAGTTTTTCAAGAATTCTTCGAAATATACCTTTTATAAATTATAAAAAAATTAATATTTTATTTGTCTTTTATATCATTTTATATATTTCAAGTAATTTATATTTATTAGTTTTATCATAATTAAATTTTTATCAATCATACATAACTCAACTCACAAAATAAATAAGTTTTTTGTTTAAATAATATCGCACCCTTACAAATCCCAAAAAGTCATGTACCCCTAAACTTTCCAAAACTTTTATCAAAAAGAGCCCAAAGGGCCAAGCAGTCAACAATGGTACATTGTCTGCCCTCATTCAACGGTCTAGATATCTCCGTCCTATCCATCCAAGGGTCACGATCTTTCTCGTTCATCTCAATGACCCCTCTCCAAATCTCTGATCAAAAATCACAATCAGACAACAACTTATATTAACACAAGAATCACATTGCTGATTACTCTCTCACTTTCCGCAATTTTCTCTCTCTAAAACGAGCCATGGCTGCGTCTTCTTTCGCTCTATCCCAAGCTGCCACCACCCTCTCTCCCTCCGCCGCTCTCCGCCATGAATCTTCCACTAATACAACCCAACTACCTTCTTCTATATCCACCCTCTCCATCCCCACTTTCTCCGGCCTCAAATCCACCTCAACTCCCTCCTCACGCGCTGTCACTCCCCGGCGTGTATCCGCTTCTCGCCGACATATCATATCTTCGGCCGCAGTGGAGTCCCTTCAGAAGACCGATACGTCCCTTGTTGATAAGTCTGTAAACACGATCAGATTCTTGGCGATTGATGCTGTTGAGAAGGCTAATTCCGGTCACCCTGGTTTGCCCATGGGTTGTGCTCCGATGGGGCATATTTTATACGATGAAGTAATGAGGTATAACCCCAAGAATCCATATTGGTTCAATAGAGATCGCTTTGTTCTCTCCGCCGGACACGGATGCATGCTTCATTATGCCCTCCTCCACCTTGCCGGCTACGACAGTGTTAAAGTAAGCTCTTAAAAGTCCTTTTTTCCCTTTTTGATCTGCGCGACCAAAATGGATTTAGTTCCTTTCATTTTTCGGTTCCATTTCCTCGAGTTTGATGAGAAATGATTGAAAATACGATAAATTGGATCATATTTATTTGTGTTTGGATACATGAACAAGAACTTTGAGTTGATTTTGGATCTGGGGTTTTGAAAAAGTTTTATTTTTTTTCCCTCAATTCAAGTTCTGCCATTCAGTCCGTTTGATCATTTGCATTTACAAGTCGCTGTCCTAAAAGATTGCTTTTTACGACTCAATCAAGCTCTTTCAGCTAACTTTTTTGATCATCTCACTGTCTTTCTGTTGCTTGAAGACATATAAAGCTATACCAATTATACCATATGTATTACGATCCAAAATTTTAAAATAAAATTTGCATCTTCTAAGTTCTTTAACTATAATCTGTTAAGGGTATGTGCTTATCATTGTATACCACAATTTTTTTCACCATAATCCGATCTTATTTTTTGCTTTGTCTGGAACATGATTGTACTTTCAAAGCATGCTTTTGAATTCTTTCACTATAATCTGATCTGGGTATTTGTTTTTTTGAAACAAAGTTGTATCTTTATATCCCAATTCCTTTTTTTTTTCACCATAAAAGCATATAGTTAGACTTTCATCCATGGTAACAAGTAATATGGATTGATGGTATAGGAAGAAGACTTGAAGCAATTCCGTCAATGGGGAAGCAAAACTCCTGGCCACCCTGAGAACTTTGAAACCCCGGGTATCGAAGTCACTACAGGTCACTCCACTTTTCTCTTACATATACATATACATATACATATACATATACATGTCGCGCATAGTTGTCCTATTTTTTATGATAAGGATTAGGAGGAGATTTAGGTGTTTTCCATTGACTAAAGACTCAAAGCGAATCTATGTCCCATCTTTTTAGGTGGGACAAATCTTGCAGCTTTTGTCACAGTCCAATCAGTCACAGTCTAATGCATGTCAAACACAGTAAAAAAACCATTAAGTTTTGTACTGCTTGACATATTCTTCGCTCGAAAGAAAATGTGTATGGAGCATACTAAACCTTAAACCCTAAACCCTAAACCCTAGGCCCATTTGTGTTTACTCTTGTTTGATATTTTCCAGGTCCACTTGGTCAAGGAATTGCCAATGCAGTTGGTCTTGCAGTTGCAGAAAAGCACTTGGCTGCTCGATTCAACAAGCCAGATGCCAAGATTGTTGACCACTACACGTACAATCTCAATCTCAATCTCAATCTCCATTTTACTTTTTTTGAAAACATAAAAAACGAATATGATAAAATACCCATGTGATATGTTGCTTTAGATATTGTATCCTTGGTGATGGTTGTCAAATGGAGGGGATTGCAAATGAAGCTTGTTCACTCGCGGGTCACTGGGGACTCGGGAAACTAATTGCTTTTTATGACGATAATCACATTTCCATTGATGGTGACACTGAGATTGCTTTTACAGAGAGTGTTGACAGACGTTTGAAGCCCTTGGTTGGCATATTGTTTGGGTCAAGAATGGGAACAATGGTTATGATGATATTCGTGCTGCGATTAAAGAGGCAAAGGCTGTTACTGATAAACCAACTTTGATCAAGGTCAGTAACTTTGTGACTTTGGGTCCTGTGTTTGTTACACAGGACATGACAGAACAAAACAGGTTGTACTGCATTTGGCTGAACTGGCATGGAAGAGGAGGGCATTCATGTCTTTTGCACAGATGAGAGATCGAAAGGAGTCCTTATCCCACCCTAAAAAGGGTGGGACAAAAAATTGCAGTTTTTGTCCCATTGACATCAGTAGTTACGTATACGTATCAGTCCAATACATGCCAAACACAGTCAGTCGTTCGCTACATTGGCCAGAGAATGGAATGCGTTTCATGTGTATTTGACAAAAATTTTTCTCACTTAAAAAGATGTAACGAGATGGGACAACGATTCACTCTCAATCTCTCATCTGTGAAAAAGACGTAAATGCCCTTATCATTCTCATCATCGAAAATAGCCCTAAAAAACTTGTGCGGTCTTATCCAATCTAGTCCCGTGTTACGCGGGACACGATTGAACTGGATAAGACTGTACAAGTTTTTTAGGGCTATTTTCGATGATGAGAATGGCAAGGGCATCTACGTCTTTTTCACAAATGAGAGATCTAGAGCGAATCGCTGTCCCATCTCGTTACATCTTTTTAAGTGAGACAAAAATTGTTGTTTTTGTCACATTGCCAACTATAATCTGTTTTGTTTTATAACCTGTAAAAATTGAGTGTTTGATTGGTGTTACTCTTAGGTGACAACAACAATCGGGTTTGGGTCACCAAACAAGGCGAATTCATACAGTGTTCATGGAGCTGCATTGGGTGCAAAAGAAGTCGATGCAACAAGACAAAACCTTGGATGGCCTTATGAGCCTTTCCATGTTCCTGAGGATGTGAAGAAGTAAGTGAAAGAGATTATGATTATGATTCTTTTATTATTTTATTCCCAAATCAATGAGATTTGGAGAAAGTAGATAACAAGTGTTGAGAAAAATAAGTATTGAAATAAATGAAACTTTGTAGGCATTGGAGTCGCCATACTGCTGAGGGTGCAGCTCTAGAATCCGAATGGAATGTGAAATTTGGTGAATATGAGAAGAAGTATGCTGAAGATGCAGCCGAGTTGAAGTCTATTGCTGATGGGGTACTCCCAAACGGTTGGGAGAAAGCTCTTCCTGTAAGAATTTTTTTTATTATAACAATATGAAAGAAATAGCAATGTACTTTCATTTCTTCTTATTAAAACATTGTAGTTTGAATTATCTACTTAGTTATAGCAATGTTATCTAATTACAAAAGAATTTTCATTGCTGTAATTGGGAGATGTTTCAAAGTACAATGTACTAATAAGAAATAAGTTGAAAGAATGAGGATATAATTCTGTAGATTTTTCAAATACAACGCATTAATATTTAATACCAAAAAAAGGTAAAAGAAAATGTTGTAACAGAAAGAAATGGAAGTAGGATGCTATAATAAACAAATACATTAAAGTACATTGCTATTACATGGATTTAGCCTAAAATTGAAAGTAAAATGCAATATATATAGCATGATACTTTCATTTATTTGTTTTGTTATAGCATCCTACTTTCATTTCAGCGTATTACAACATTGTGGTTTGAAATAACCCAATTATATCAATTTCATCAAATACGAAGCCATTTTCATTGTTATAATTGAGTAGATTTTCAAGGTACAAGGTACTAAAAAGGAAAAAAGTAATTGTAAGTATAATGCCATAAATGGGTAGATGTTTCGATGTAGAATGTCTTTAAAAGATTTTTTTTTAAAGTACAATGCTGTTATAGAAACAAAAGAAAGTCCATAGCTATTTCTTGCATTTAACTTAAATTAAAATGGTTAAAGGCAAGAAATAGCAACACACTTTACTTTATTTGTTTATATTAGCATCGTACTTAAATTATTGTAGTTTGAAAATCTACCCAATTATAACAATATCATCCAAATACAAAGCAATCTTCGTTATTATAATTTTTTTTTAAAGTTTTTCAAAGTACAATATTATAGTAATAAAAAAAATTGAAAGTTATACTGTTGTAATACAAGTAAATGAAAGTAGGATGCTATAATAAACAAAGAAAGGATAGGTACGTTGCTATTTCATACATTTACCCTACCATCGAATAACTTTTGGTTGTTTTCTATAGAAATACACGCCCCGATATTCCCGGCGATGCAACCCGAAACCTATCACAATCATGCCTAAACGCATTAGCACCCGTTCTCCCGGGGCTCCTCGGTGGAAGTGCCGATCTCGCCTCTTCCAACATGACCCTAATGAAAAATGTTCGGTGACTTCCAAAAGAACGCTCCGGAAGAACGAAACGTCCGCTTTGGTGTCCGTGAACACGGAATGGCCGCCATTTGTAACGGCATCGCCCTGCACAGTCCGGGATTCATCCCGTACTGTGCTACTTTCTTCGTTTTCACCGATTACATGAGAGGCGCTATGCGCCTCTCAGCTTTATCTGAAACCAGGGTCATCTACGTGATGACCCACGATTCCATCGGGCTGGGTGAGGATGGCCCCACCCATCAACCCATTGAACACATCGCCAGTTTCCGGGCGATGCCTAATATTTTAATGCTCCGACCGGCCGACGGAAACGAAACGGCCGGAGCATACAAGGTCGCAGTAGAAAACCGTAAGCGACCGTCTGTGCTTGCCCTTTCGAGACAAAAGCTGCCCAACCTGCCCGGAACATCAATCGAAGGTGTAGCGAAAGGTGGTTATATTGTATCCGATGATTCTTCGGGCAACACGCCCGATGTTATCTTGATCGGAACCGGGTCCGAGCTTGAGATTGCGGTTAAAGCTGCGGATGAGCTTAGAAAGGATGGGAAATCGGTTAGGGTTGTGTCGTTTGTGTCCTGGGAGCTTTTTGATGAACAATCTAATGAGTATAAAGAGAGTGTACTTCCGGGTAGTGTCACGGGTCGGGTCAGTATTGAAGCCGGGTCGACTTTTGGGTGGGAAAGAATAGTTGGAAGCAAAGGGAAGGTGATTGGGATTGATAAATTTGGGGCAAGTGCACCTGCGGGAAAGATATATAAGGAGTATGGGATAACAGTTGAAGCTGTTATAGCAGCCGCTAAGGAAGTTTGTTAAGTTTCTGATAGGTAAAACAATAAAACGAAGAACGGAGAGTTTAGATAAAGTTCATGTATTGTTTGAGTTTTGGTGAATTTTGTAATTTGATACTTAAAGATCTTTCTAGATTTTGTATTTTATGTGTTTGATCGTTGATGAGTCATGAGATGTTTTTGTCCAATTACCTTTCAAGCAGATTTTCCTATCTTAACGTAACCCAAATCTACTAATTAAGAAGTTAATTGGTCAAAATCGTTACCAATAGTTATGATTTTGTGCGATCTAAACTAGTATATCGTGTTTCCTTTTGTAATTACACTATGGATTTAAATCGTAAAGAAAGCTTTTCCTATTTTGAATTTTGAGGTGTAGGATCTAGAAACAAATGAAGTGAGTAAAGCAACCATTCTAGTTACTGCAATGGCGATGCATATAAAAATGCATATCTTGGATTAGGAACATTTGTACATGCTTTAGCACGTAATGAACTAGTGTGAGGCATACATATAAAGTACTTTGTGAAGATTATGCATTGTAGTTGCATGTACTTCCATATATTATATACTATATTATTATAAGCTGTAAGGCTTGCTTGGATTTAGAGCCAAGGGCTTCATTTTGAGATCTTCTATAAAGTCACTGCCAAGATGCTTGCAAACACATTGAAGTGGTTCATTGGTTCAATCATTAGCAACACTCGATCAACATTTATAGCAGGCCACAAGATCCTCGGTGGACCTATGGTGGTGAATGAATTCTATTTTGGGGCCATGAAGACAAAGATAGAGACCATATTCTTTAAGGTAAACTTTGAAAAGGCCTTTGAATCACTCAATTCGGACTTTCTCGATTCAATTATGATGCAGATAGGTTTCCCAATCACTTGGAACACATGGCTTCGGGGTTGCCTCTCCTCATCAAGATCTTTAGTCCTCGTTAACGGCTCTCCAATGAAGGAATTTATTGTACAAAAAGGTGTAAGAAAAGGAGATTATCACATTTCTTATTCATAATTGCAATGGAGGCGTTACATGTGATGATACTAGAAGCACACCTACAATCTCACACCAACTATACAGGGATGATTTAATCTTCACTGATGATTGAAGTCTTTCACACTTTCACAACCTTGTTGGTATTCTCCATTGCTATCAACTAGCTTATAGACTTAAATTCGACTTCACAAAGAGCATGGTTTATGGAATTGGAGCCTACTCCTTAAGTTGAATCCATGTCATAAATTCTAAATTGCCAACTTGTATGCTTTGATTTATATACTTGAGCCTTCTAGTTGGGACAAATATGTTCTTTTAAAGAACTGGGAGCCGGTCCTAGAGGCCAGTGGCCTTTCTGGAGAGGAAAGCGAAGGTTCTACGGAACAAGGAAGTACCATTGGTAAAGGTACAATGGGAGCACCAGAGGGGATCTGAGTGGACTTGGGAGCCGGAAGCTGAGATGCGGGAGTATTACCCAGAGTTGATCACCACAGCGGACTTCGAGGACGAAGTCTAGTTCAAGTGGGGGAGAATTGTAACACCCCGACTCTCAGGTATAAACTTTACAACCTTATATTCATTTTGAAAGGTCTACTCGACAAGTTGGATGCCCTGACTCGTCGAGTAGGAACGAACCTGGCCGCGTGTCTTAAGTGACCGATGACGGTCCTGGTCGATTTACTGATGACGGTCCTCGACTCTCAGGTATAAACTTTACCTCCTTCCGGACCGGTGGAAGGACAACCTGAGGCCCACAACAGGAAGGCTGGTAGGATTTACAGGACACAGCTTATGGCCGCTCGGCACAATCCACCTACCTCTCACGCTAACCAGCCACGATAAGCAGCGAAAGAAAACGGTCCTGGTCGATTTCGTTGTAATCTGGCACTCAGCAGAGCATAACATCATCCTGGGAAGGACAACCCTGCTCAAGCTAGGAGCCGTCCTATCAACAATGCACATAATTGTGAAATTCAGCACTACTGAGGGCCCGACTACGATTCTTGCCACGCCGCCAAAGGAACTACAATACTTTACGGTTATGCAACCAGCAGAGATAACAAGAGAAACCAAGAAAGCACGGTCTGAATCAACAAACGAGAAGGAGGTGATTAAAGAAGAATATCCCGACCAGCCGATCAACATTGGTCGTGGCCTCCTAGGGCACACCAGGCAGGCGCTCATCGACCTGCTCAGACGGTATAAACACGTGTTTGCATGGACTCCTACAGACATGGTCGGTGTAGACAGGAAGTTATAGAGCATAAGCTCATGATCAAGCCAGGCACAAAGGAAATCAAACAGAAGAAGAGGGTCCAAGGGGGAGACCGTAACTGGGCAATCAATGCGGAAGTAGCCAAGCTAACGCAAGAGGGAATCCTGCGAGAAGCGGTCTTCCCAACCTGGATCGCTAATCCCGTCAAGGTACGAAAGCATGACGGGTCATAGCGCATGTGCATCGACTTCTCCGACCTAAACAAGGCGTGCACCAAGGATTGCTATCCCCTACCAGAAATCGACCAGAAGGTGGAGTCACTACAGGGTTTCAAGCTAAAGTGCTTTCTAGACGCATATAAGGGTTATCATCGGATTCTGATGAGCAAGGAAGAGACGAGGAAAAGACAGCTTTCTACACCGACCACGACACCTTTTGTTACACCAAGATGCCGTTTAGATTAAAGAACACGGGGGCAACGTATCAACGATTGGTCGACTCGATATTCTCCAACCAAATTGGAAGAAATATCGAGGTATATGTCGACAACATGGTTATTAAGAGCCCGGATGAGGCAAAAATGTTACGAGACGTTGAAGAAACTTTCAGAACGTTGGAAAAGGCGAAGATGAAGTTGAACCCAGGCAAATGTACCTTTGGGGTTGAAGAGGGGCAATTCTTGGGATATTATGTTACCAGACAAGGCATCCCGCCCAGCCTAGTCAAAGTGGACGAGTTCATGGAGACCCCACCTCCAAACACCTTGAGGGACGCACAGGGCCTGGACGGGAAACTCACGACGTTCAGTAGATTCATCTCGAAGTCGGCTGACAAGGCCATGCCGCTCTTCCACATGCTAAAGGGCTGTATTGAGAAAAGTAACTTCCAGTGGACGGCGGCAGCAGAGTCAGCGCTCCATAAGATCAAAGAAGCCCTGCACAAGTTACCCACATTAGCCAGCCCTATCCCGGGCGAAACGCTGCAGGTATATCTCTCGACCTCAAATGAGGCCATATCCTCCGTTTTAGTCGTAGAAAGGGGAGGGGGAGCAGAAGTCGGTGTACTTCGTTAGCCGAGCGCTACAAGGCCCCGAACTCAACTACCCCACTTTAGAGAAGCTAGTGCTAGCACTCATTTACGCTGCACGACGGTTGAGACGCTATTTTCAAGCACACCAGATCGAAGTCCTGACGAACTGCCCGATCAAACAGATACTGCTCAAGCCAGAAACATCAGGCCGACTCGCAAAATGGGCAATTGAATTAGGTGAGCACGACATCAGTTATCACCCGAGAACGAGCATCAAGGGGCAAGCGTTGGCAGATTTCCTGCTCGAAATCCCTGGCGGGGGAGACGCAACCAAAGAAGGAATCATGGTAGTAAAAGGAATCCCGGAGAACAATCGGAAGTGGACGCTGTACACCGATGGAACATCCAACAGAGAGGGCTCAGGAGCAGGCCTAATCCTGACCAGCCCAGAGGGAGAAGAGGTCACCTAAGCTCTTCGCTTCTATTTCAACACCTCGAAAAATGAGTTGGAATGTGAAGCCCTGCTTGCTGGACTAGGGCTGGCCAAACAAATGGGGACAGAGGCTGAAGCGGCCCTGAAGGATTCTAGACTGGCCGCCAATCAGATTAACGGGAGCTTTGAAACAAGGGACAAAAGGATGGAGAGGTACGTCAAGATAGTACAATAACTCACTAAATCTTTCAAGGAGTTCACGATTAAACAAATACCAAGGAATGAGAACAGGAGGGCGAACGCCCTAAGCAAATTAGCATCGACATGTTTCGATCACTTGTCAAAGAAAGTCCTGGTTGAAGTACTCATAGAAAGAAGCATAGACGAACGAAAAGTAAGCACCCTCACAACGGCTGCACCCACGTGGATGACACCGCTGGTCGAATATTTACAACAGGATGTTCTGCCGGATAATCATGACGAGGCCAGAAAGATACGCATAAAGGCACCCTCATACGTGCTAATAAACGGAGAACTATATCGAAAAGGGTTCACAAGCCCATGGCTAAGGTGTGTAGACGAAGCCAAAGGGAAAGAGGCGCTCCGGGAAGCGCACGCAGGCCAGGCGGGCGCACACGAAGGCGCACGCGCCTTAACAGGAAAGGTGCTCCGGATGAGGATCTATTGGCCCACAACATACCAGGACGCGACAGAGCTAACAAGGAAATGTGGGGAGTGTCAAGAATTTTCCCCAGTCCAAGCAAACCCTCCGGTACCCCTATCCAACATATCTAGTCCCTGGCCGTTTTACCAGTGGGGGATAGACATTGTAGGACCATTCCCGGAGGCGCCGGGAAAGTTAAAATACATGGTGGTTGCGGTGGATTACTTCACGAAATGGATCGAGGTGGAGCCATTGGCGTGTATTTCTGGGAGGCAGATGATCAAATTTGTGTGGAAAAACATCATGACTAGATTCGGCATGCCTAAGACACTTGTCAGTAACAACGGGCTACAATTCGCTGAGAATCCGTTCAAGGAATGGTGCATCAGCAAAGGAATCAACCAACGATTCACATCGGTAGCGCATCCACAAGAAAATGGCCAGCGGAAGTGTCCAACCGAACCATTGTGAATGGGATCAAGAAACGGTTGGGGAAGGCCAAAGGAAATTGGGCCGAGGAAATACCGACGGTACTATGGTCATACAGAACCACTCCACGAACAAGCACACAGGAAACCCCATTCAACTTAACATATGGAGCAGAGGCGATGCTCCCAATGGAAGTAACGATAGGCACATTGAGGACAATCCATACCGACGAAAAAGCCAACTCTCAGGACC